GTGCATTTTTTTTTTGAAGTGGAAACGGCGGGTCTTTTCAAAAGTTTGCGAAAATCCTCCACTATACCTTTAAGTTTATGTTTAAAGTCAACCCTTTCAACAGTTTCAAAAATCTGGACTTTAACTCAAAAAATTTACAAAATCCAAAGCAATGCCAAAAATCAGCCGGCACATTAAAGAGGTCAACCGATTTTTTGGAATCTTTTAATTAACACACAAAACAAACTTAACCAAGGAAAACTGACCTAACATAATGACACCGAAGGGTAACGTATATAGTGATTTGGCCAAACATAAAAAACAAACAGGGGAAAACAAGAAGACTGACAATTAACTTAGGCCAACATTTAAACTGACTAAACCCAACCCCCCCATTGTTCAGTGGTCCATGGTACGGCAGGTGCCCAGCTTTAAGCCTTCTCAGCCCACAAATTGCATCCCCACCGTGGCAATTAAAAAAAAAAGAAAATACTTTCCATTGCTGGTATGTGTGCACAGTTTAACAGCAGTGCAAGATAAACCAAATTACAAAATTAGATATTGAAAGAAGTAAAAATATTACCACTGTGGGGCTCCAGCCCACACAGTCTTCATGTCAAATTATAACATAGCATGTTTTCTAAAATGAAATGGTTAAAAATGTTTTATTTTTATTGATTATGAATTCGACAAAGAAATTATGCTTAAGATATTGACAAGAGATTATCTAAAATGGGCAAATTAAATAAAAAAAAATATGCTCATCTATACTGTAATATTTCTTAAACTATTTGAAATTAACCTAGCTACATGCAAGGTATGCTTTGTGTGAAACAATTATCACACAGTAGAGTTGGTGAAGCTAGTCTTAATAAAAGTTATATTTGGTCTAGAAGGACCGTTAATGATTTATTTGAACAAAATGTTTAACTATATCATAAAACATTCACAAGCTCCCATTTCCTCCTTGTTAACTGGAACTGTCTCAGCTGGGATGTTTTAGCATCAACCAAGCCAGCATATTTAGCTATGTTATGCTAATCTTACCTGAAGTTTGTTTAAATGTTTCTAGCAAGAGTATTACAATGGAAGCACATTACAGCTCTAATTTCTTCATTTTGAAATGTAGAAAATGAATGTATAAAGATATTATGCGGTCAACTAAGCCTAAATAAAACCAAGGCTAGAAGTTGTACTTTGCCTAGTTAGTGACAGGAACTAGCCTAGCATTAAATATGACCTGAATTTGGCTGGTCCTGCTCAGAGCTAAGATTAATGTGTGTACCACTGCCCTCAAAAATATGAGATAAAATAAATAAATGCTAAATGGTTACAGAAATATCATTTAGATGGCTATTTAGACCTCTCTCTCTTTTTTTATTTATTAGTTTTTTTACTTCTGAAAATTGTCTGTGACCACAGACGTGGTTCTTCAGTCTATGAAGTGCAAGTGCAGATCGTCGACATGCTGAATACAGTTAAATGTGGTTTTAGCAGTTATAAACAACAGCAATGGATGCTGATTTTCACACTGCGGTCTTCAGTATGATTGTAATTTACACTCTGGCATCCTCTGAAAACAGGTTCATGTTTCCAAAGTTTCCCCTCACAGGAGCCTCAGTCCTTTTAGACCCCAGACAATGTCCCATTGTTTCCGCTGACTGAGCACCGGAGAAATACAAAATAAACCTCTCTTGTTTAGAAATAAGGTCATTTCGGAATAATTGACCTCCGGACCATTGAAGCAAGTTCTTGGATCCATTTCTTTTTGTGTGAAGGTAAAAACACATTGTTGTCCAGTTCCCTTTAATCTAATCCTTTTGTTTCTTCATATAAAGTTTCATGTTATCTGAATTTAAGCATAAGTAAACTGTACTTCCCTCATTCTGCTCATTAGAATTTCATTCCTGCTACATTTGAGGGTATATTAAAGATTGTCCATGAAGCTTTTGATCTTATGTCTTCTTGTGTAGCTGTGATCTGATTTTAACAATGTTTATTTACTCTAAAAGCTTCAGATTTTCCTGTTTTGAACTGATGCACTCACCTGGCAGACCCCTTTAAACCTTTGAATGTATACTTTTAACCCCTTTTGTCTTTTTTTTCTTTTGTATAAAATCATGGCATTCCTGTCTATGCAAATTAATGCTTCAAGGAAGGGGTTTTTATGAAACCAAAGGTATTATCTGTGGCAGCTTGCGTCCTACACAATCATGAAACTGAAAAATTACAGTGCTACAGCAAATTGTCATATTGCAAAGTATTTTAGATAACCTTCCTAAGTACAGTATACAGTGTACAATACCAGTGTAGTTACCTGATCTGTAAATATCTATCAATAAAACAGTTGTAATTTAAATGTTTTTGTGTGTTTTTTTTAATGTTTTTTTTTTAATGATTTTTATTTATGAATTCTGGTTCCTTTCTCCTAAAATACCTACTGTGTTCAACAGAGCATTTCACACACAGAGACTCATCCATTGCTTGAATCATGCAAAATCAGCCTTTATTTTTTTTTTTTCTTGTACCTATTTTATAATTTTATTCCTTCAACAGATTTGTGCAGAAATTGGTATTTTGTTTTTGCATCTCTGACTAATTGTCATGAGTTTTTTTGTCTGAGCAGCACCCCCTCCCTCTCCTGTGAAAGCGGGCAGTTTAAAAGTGAAAGTCCCTCCAGGAAACACCTACCTTAACCGTGCTGCGCCGCGCCGCGCCGCGCCAGCAGTTTAAACAAACACCCACTTCCTTCCATCTAGGAGGGGAGCAGCGCAATGTTTCGAGCTTAAATATAAGACCAAGTGGCTCTTTTATCCTTTAATTTTCACATAGCAGCAGCTTTTCTTTTTAGCTAATCTAAGTCCTGGAAATCTGTTTATTTTTGCCCTCGGTCTCAGATTTTCTTCAAGCTTCCGAAATGGTTGATATGGCATATGGGAGGCAGCTTCGTTTAGACTATTTTAAAACTAATTTATACCCATTTTGTCATATATTTTCTTAAAGGTGACTTTAAAAAGGCTTTAAAAAGCAAGTTATAGGACTTTTAGAAGTGTTCTCACCATTTGAAATTTTTTACATGAAAAAAAAAGTTCCTTGTTGGTCTTATTTCAGAACATTATTCAACATAATTAGCTCGGGGCAAAAATACAAAGAGATTCTAATGAGCCTGTTTCAAACCATCACCTTATTTTAGCCGCTCTTTCATAAACACCAGATGTATGGCTTTTCCCCGGTTTGTAGTTTTCTTTCCATGTTCAGATGATGGATTTAACCATTCTCTCCAAAATGTTCAAGCTTAGGTTGTTCCTTCATTTAGTTAACCCTGCTTTAACATTTTCCACAACTCTCTTCAACCTTTCATTAATGTTTTCTATCGAACCATAAACTTAACATAACAGCAGAGATTAAATAACAGACCTGTAGACTATTCGCTATTGGACCAGCTTCTTGGGAATCAAATAAAGGGCGGTGAAGACCAGGATACTCGAGAATAATATCCAACTTTAATTACATTGAATACAAATAATACATGTATGACTATGTCCCTTGGTGTTGGTTGGTAGTCTTTAATTTTAAGCCTAGTGGGTTTTAGGAGCAAATTCTGCCTGAAATCACATATGTGAATTAAAGCAAGTACAGCTCCCAAACTATAAAATGGAAATACAATTGTTGTGTTTGTATGACAGAAAGGCATTGAGGAATATTTTTCAGGTGGAACCACTATTTTAAATGTCATCATGTGTGACTTACAGGTGATTAAACAAAAAAGAACATTTTTAACCTCACCAATTTTATTTTTATTTTTTCCAAAATAAACTGCAAAACACCCTGGAACCCCATTTGAAACTCTGAATGAACACTCACCCTTTATAGATCCACATATTGACTACAACTCAAGCAAATTTAGACTGAATAGGTTAAAACATTTTAGTTACATGAAGGTTTTAGTGGGCAGTGTGCTAGCCGGAAATGTGATGCCAAAAGTGGCCAAATTAATTTTTCCACTCATAAAAGGGAATCTGGCCCGACAAATATGCTGATTTACATTATTGGAGACCTTCTGCATAAGGAAAAGCCTTTGTTCCTAAGATTAGCCGTAGTTTCATTGAAATTTACCATTGAATGCACAATAATATAACAAAAAGTGAACAGAAAATGATAACAGAGCAAGCTTATGTAACATATGCCGGTTGCATCACCTGAAATGGTACCCCATTCATAATTTGAGACTTAATGTCTTGCCCAATTATCCTTCGATGTGTATTGAAAGGAAACTGGAATAGAGCATGCATTGCCAAATGGAGGGGTTGAAAAACTGTCCAAAACTAAGGGATACTTAAAATAAACTTGAAATGTTTTTTATTTTATTTTTTTATTAATATGCAAGTGTCCATTTAAATCTTTAAAAATATTTGCAAAGTGCTAAAAAAGAAAAATGTAATTTTCCATAGAAATACTTGTGTTTCTGTAGAACTCCATAGCGTTTAAATCTAGATGTAATATCCATAATCCGCCACCAGGTGGCAGTAACTAACTTACACTAAACTGCTGCGAAGGTCGGCAAAGTTATTTTTACACAACCTGAACTATTTATTATTATTATTATTATTATTA